GCTGAAAGCAATATATTGGTAGTGACATGTAATTAACTGACATTCACTGAACTGTGTATTCAGGTTCAGTATACATTAATTCAACAGATAAACCTCAATAATACAGTTGGGTTAATACTAGGGCTGTGGGTCTCCTCTGGCACTCCCCTCCCATGGCACATGTTGGTGCCCCAGGTGTACATGTGCTTGTAACACACGTGCTGGCATGAAATGCCCTTCAAGGTCACACATAGCACCTGAGGGACCCTGCTCACTGCCCCTGGATGTCCCTGGATGGACAGGTGATGTCTCCAGGTGTCCCAGGAGAGGATCCTTGTCCCTGCCTGGGCAAGGTGGTGATGGCAGGGAGTGACTTCTGGCAGTACCAAACCAGGTTCAGTCTGCTGCTCTCTTCATTGCAAGGTCTCTCTTCTCCCATTATATGTCTCCACAATTCTTCTCAAGCTGACTCTGTCTGTGTTGCCAGTCTCTTTGCTCTTTGGGGAGGAGAAGCAATGGAAAAATGGCCACTTCTTGAAGACCTTGTCCTGCACAAAGCACAAGAGCAGGTGCCCTCCTGGATGGACCGAAGTGGAGGGCATGGCAGTGTGTAACATGACTGAGCGCATTGTGACAGATGCTATGTGAGAGCTTTTCCAGCTTGGCAGGATGAGAGGAGGAGGAATGCATACATCACATCCATACATCAAGACCATCATATCATCAGAACAAATGCTTTTCACTGCAGACCTTCTGTTTGTTTATTTATGTGAAAAAGCAGAATATGTTGGCATATCCAGAGACCTCTGGAGACCTCCCAACAATTGCACACTAAAAAAAAAGCACATTAAACTCTGAAGTTCCTTACAAATGCTCTAAAATGACCTCTTTTCTGAATGCAGTCATTATCTTGCCTGAGAGAGCAGCAAAGTGCATCTGTGCCTGGATGTCTCTGTCAGCCAAACTGTCCCCTCTGCTGCAGTTGCACAGAGTGTGTTGCCAGCACTGCTGGCATGGAAGCCAGAAGTACTCAAGATTTATAACAAGTTATCAAAAGAATTTACAATAAATTGGGGTAATCACATATAAACAGAGCAATTCATTCCTTTAGTAACTCCACTGAATTACACCTGGGATAAACTTGGACCATTATTTATTGAGTAAGTGTTAGCAGCCCAGCACAGTAACTAAGAAAGCCTGTCTGGGGATCCAGATGAAAAAAGATCCATGTGGCTTTTTTTTTCCCCTGACTGTTACTCACATTGTTCACAGATGGATGTTTCTGCTAAAAATTAACAGTGAAGCTAATGACTTTGTTTTTATTGAGCTGAACAAGTCAAACAACTTGTTTTCCTTTCTCAGAAGGCTCATTTTGGCCTATCTTGAGACTGAGAATCAAACCCTGCAGCTGTTCCCAGTACTGATAATGAAAATCACCAAGGAGATCATCCCCAAATCATGAAACAGTATCACAAATTATGGGGTTATTACCAAGGAAATAGGTCTTCTAAGAATTTTTAAACTTTTGAACTTTTTGGGTCCAGGGAATACATAGTATTTGTTTCCTATAAAAATACCTTCTGCCAGGCTTGTGGGAGACACATGAAAAATAGAAGTTGTTTGATATTTTCATACTGTCACCATTGTTAGAGCTGGAGGTTTGAAAATATATGTCAAATACAGCAAGAGTTTTTAAGGAGATTGTGAAGGTAGGTAGCACAGCTTGAATAGCAAGTGAGCCAAAGGCAGCAGTCCCCTCTTTTTTTCTTAGACAACCATCCCAAACAAGAAATGCTTGTTAGGGAGCACCACGTTTTGTGAGGTAATTCTCATTTTGTGAGGTTATAAAGTAGCATCATACTTTCTTGGGTGATTGCATTCCCTGGCAGTTGGGGTATTTGTTGCTACAAGATCTAAAAATAGCAGTAAGCACAGGCACAATGACTTTGGTTTTGTCTTATGAGCACCCAGGTACAATGCAATCTTCTTCTGAAAAGTACGTTTTTGCAGACTTGCATTAGAGCCATTGGGGAGGGGAAGTTGCAGCAATGGGCAGCAGCCCCAGGTTTCCCTGCTCTAGACAAGCACTCAGGTTCCTCGTGTGTTTTGATCACTGCTACTGGCTAAACACAGCTACATTTGAGCCTTCTGTGCAGGTTATTTCTGGTTTTCTCTTCAGTCACCGTTGAACTGCAGTCAGAGGGACTATCTGCTCAGTGTTTGTTCCTTTCTGGTTCTTTTACTTTGTGCTGTGGAAGAGTTTGGTCCTATTTAGCTTTCTTTTTTTTTTCCCCTTATGGGCTAATCATAGGAAAGAACAGTTTCATTTATCAAAGTCATCCACTTTCACTTCTCAGAGGAGCTCCTGTGCTGTCATCTTTGAACTTGAGCTTATTTTTTTTTTTTTTCCGAGAAGCAGAGGCTCAAAATAGTCTTATCACAGTTTGAATGTACCATTTATCTCATTTTTAAGTGTCTCCCTTTCAGACAGGTTTAAAATGGGGTTATTTAAGTAGAGGTTTTTTTTAAACTTTTGGGTTTCTGCTCTTGTAACTAAGAATGCTATGAAAAGTGAGAGGAAGGCTGGAAAGAGCCTGTTTGTGTCTATGCTGCATTTTAGATGCTCATGAGGAATGAGGAATGAGGAGAGAGGAAGAGGAGAGCAAGGGAAGGCAAAGGGATATGAATGTTGTTTTTTTTCAAAACAGCAAGAATAAAAGGAGGACATTCTCAACTGCATCTACCCAAGTCTCTAAAGAGCCATGCATGACATCCAACTGATTGGAGAGATGACCATACTGAGGATATCAGTGACTTCTAAAATCCTTCCAATTCAGAGGTTTCTTTGAAGATGGCACTGAGAGATGCTGAGAGATAGCACGTTTTAGGACATCAGAGGAAGTGGCAAACACATAAATAATCTTTCCCACATCTCATGACATATCTGTGTGTCCTGCCTCAGGAGGTTAGAAAGAGGCAGAGAACAATAAATCATTCTGCCCTTGCTCCTCCCAGAGGAGAAAAACCTGAATATCTCAGGTGATGGTCTTGACAAGAATATTTTCTCCACCTCAACAACAAGAGTGATTCTGCCAGGAATATGGGAGTTGAGTAAGTACCAGTCACCTCTTATGGAAGAGATGGCAATTCTATGTCACAAGGATTGCCACCCTTAAAACTTTCTACTAATGTACATAAAACAATCTATAAAAACATGCTGCTCATGTCTGTTACATTATTTAATATCTTATACTTATGAATTGATAAGTTCCACCTTAACTGCAGTAGTGGTGATTACTGTGTACAGTTTTAGGCACCACGATCTAAAAAAGACATCAAGCTACTGGAGAGTGTCCAAAGGAGAGCCATGAGGATGATGAAGGGTCTGGAAGAGATGACTTATGAAGAGCAGCTGAGGTCATTTGGATTCTTCAGCTCAGAGAAGAGGAGGCTGAGGGGTGACCTCAGTGCAGTCTGTGGCTTCCTCACAAGGGGAAGAGATGGGGCAGGTCCTGATTTCCTCACTCCTGTGACCAGTGACAGGACTTGGGGCAATGGCAGGAAGCTGAATCAGGGGAGGCTTAGGTTGGGTATCAGGAAAAGATTTTTCACCCAGAGGGTGTCTGAGCACTCAAACAAGCTCCCAAGGGCAGTGGTCACAGCACCAAGCCTGCCTGAGTTCAAGAAGCATTTGGGTGATGCTCTCAGGCACATGGTGTGATTCTTGGAGTGCTCTACACAGGGACAAGAGTTGGACTTGATGATCCTGATGGGTCCTTTCCAACTCAGCAGATCCTGTGATTCCATGATTTTATACAAAACACTGCAGGGGTCGACTTGGCTGGTCTGGCTGGATTAATACCAGTTCCCAGGGCTTTGGGAAGGAGATAAACCAATAGTCATAAGAAAGAAGATGCCTTCACTGCATGTCTGTGAATATGACATTGGGAGGTTTGCACAGCACTGCTGCTGAAGGTCAGTAATATGCAGTGACATGATGAAGTGACTATTTAGCAATAAAGGTGT